CCATGGCAGGGTTCTCCCCAGGATGAAATTCAAACAGGGGGGGAGGGGAGGGGTAGGGGGGGAGGGGGAGGGGGAAAACTAGGGGGAGGGGGGAGGGGGGAAACTAGGGGGGTCCGGGGGGCGTGTATTTTTACCGTACGACTAATTAATGCGTAAAATCGCCACCACACCACAGACGGTATTTGGGGTTCTTGTATATATAAGATAGCCGAGTCTGCGTACAGTTAGTGACAGGTTAACTGTGCATTGTCAGTTTAACTTGTGTACTGTCTTCAGTACATGCGTGGTACGGTAAAAATACACGCGTCGGATGTCCTTGTCAAACGGCAATTCTTGACGATCTATTCCCTCGCTGGCAAACTTATATTGTGGTGGAATTTAAACAGGGGGGAGTTTTCCCAAACGGGGCGCAACGATTCAAACGGGGGGGGGGAGTTTTCCCAAACGCGGGTTCCCGTTTGCGCAACGTAGGGAGAACCCTGCATGGTACTACAATTTAATGGACATCGTGCTTTTTCATTGTGAGTTGGCTTCATGAAGTGATAGATTTCTATTCTATTTACTCCAATCGATGAATCATGCCCTTTTTGATTCACACGACGATTTCCTTGTAAACTCTTGTCACCGGGGGACTCCGTAATGCTGCTGCTGTACCACCTCTCCTGCTTGGCAGTGGTGGTGCTGCTGCTGCTGCTGCTGCTGCTGCTGCTGCTGCAGTCACTGGCGGTGCTGTGACGGTCATTTTGTCTTTTTGTTTGAAGCAGACTCGATTTTTTGCGACGAGGAAAGCTGTGGCAACAACGACCACCATGACGACGATCGCTACAATGACCATGGCAAGAATGAGACCTGCATTCACGGTATCTGAAAAGGCAAGATCATCACAGTCTTTTCTATGTGTTATTGAGTCTAGAGATCATTCTAGGCCAGCGTGTGTGTATTGTGTGCATTCTTGTTGTGCTCAGGTGCACCTATTGTGCCCGTGTCATGCCAAATTATTCCTGCTTGCGTATTTTGGGGAAAATGCAGTTTTGTATTGTCGGCAAGTCCAGGGTTGCATATGTCTATAAGATGGTTTTAATGCAGGCCACTTAGTATAATGGTGACACTTTGGACTGAACTATTGATATGCTGGAATATAAAAGGGGGAACATATATATTCAATGAACATGAAACACTGATGTTGCAACTGGGGTCAAGGCACTGGCATTTCAGCATTTCCAGAAAGTGCTGCTAGGTGCCACTGATGCTGATGTCATTACAGATTTGGTTTGTACAGATATCATCATGATCACAGAAATAACAAATCAGGTAATTGCAACAATGTCTACTTGAGCTATGTACGACAGTGTAAGGTGTGAAGTACAAGGTTAATTTGTAACTGTGCATAGCAGTATAACAGTGTACAGCAGGAAATGAAATACCAGTAGGAATATTCACAGAACCGCATCAGCATACAGAAATTATAGGTGATCATCGTTTGATCGCGCATTCAGTTAAAATAATTAATAAAACATAGATCCCTTGATGTATTTTTGATCAAATTTGTTATAATGGTTTGCCTATTATCTATTACGTATGGTTAGTTCACTGATATATCATGGACTCTTTCTTATTTTCAAATGTGTCGACACGGGTTGTTTCCTGCAGTTATAATCATCATACCTATAACAATGACTGGCACATCGTCTGACCTGTCCAGACCATACTTGTTGAAGGCAACACACGTGTATCTGCCCTGGTCCGACTCCTCTATCTCGCTGATGCTTAGCACCGCCCCGTTCTGGAATGTTCTGTTGTCCTTCATCCAGGTGAATTCAGGAGCCGGGTTGCCCCTCGCATAGCAGAGGATGGTAACGCTCGTTCCCGATACGTATTCAAGTTTTGCAGGCCAGTTTGACTTGACAATCGGCTTGACTGCAATGCAAAACAGTATAAAGTACTGCAACAATACGTAACCTGACAGCTAATTCTGCCTGCCCTTGTCGTAGTTGACTATGGTCATATCAAATCAGTGTATGTATATATATATATATACGATTAACGGTGTTCATGTTTTGTTTGCAGTTAGTTGAGTAATACCGTTTATATGTAGTGGGAATTTAAATGCAAACCCTTCGTAAAGGAGCACAAGTGTAGGAATGGGCTTTGTACTGAATGTCAAGGAAGCTATATATATAGTTATATTTTTAGTAACAGTAAGAAAGACTAACAGGGTGGGATTAATATGACAACATTCGTTGCTTCTATCTAGAGTTGGGAATGTACCAAATTTCATGAACGGTTCTTTAACCGTATTTATTATGCCCGTGCTTTCAGTGCTACGAGTGGATTTATGTAGTTATGGGAAAGAAATACCATTCTGTAATCAAGGAAAGTAGCACACCGTGGATCACGCCAGTAAATTAACATGGCTTCTCCATTTCCCAGCAGTTTTATCGAAATCATATGTGCATATTTATGTACACATATATATATAACTAGCTGCGGGTACCCGCTGCGCTGGGTAAAATCGTGTTACTAATTCATACTACTAATAATTGGACACAATAGACACAAATGGAACATGGGTAAAAATCGACAATATAACTTGTACACAATATCAATATTTAGAAATCAGTCTAATAAGATAATAAGCATGGGGAAAAACTGTTACGTATGCCATTTATATGACAGCAGAACCCAACTTAGAACCCCTGGAACATAATAGTAATATTATGGTGCAAATGAGAAAAAGTTATTATAACAGCATGTACGAATGGTTGCACTTCTCATTTCAAAGCCTCTTGATAAACAATGCAGTCGTAACCTCTGAACAGGTTCCTGGTTGTGCTCGTTTTTAGTATCGGTTTCGGTTTCACAATACCAGCAGCTGATGGAATGAGTGATCGATTTTTCTGTGTGGCAGCACTGTACAGTCAGTGCTGACATTGTGTGAAGATTCACGAATTGAGGGGTTTTTCACGGATTTTTCGGTGAGTTTGACGGGTTTGGCAGGTTTTTTCAGCTAAGAACCACTCCCGGGTATAAGAGGATGGCCCTGTGAAAATTGCATCCAGATAGCTTGGGCGGTTGGCCGCCTATAGGAAGATACATACATACATACATACATACATACATATACATACATCATACATACTACATACATACATACTACATACGAACTCAATAATATATTAGATAATTATATAAATATATTATATATAAATAATATACGCCTAACTCTAAATAGAAGCAATGAATGTTGTCATAATAATCCCATCCCACCCTGTTAGTCTTTGTTCCTGCCACTAAACAACGTAACTAGCTTCATTGACATACAGGAAGAACTGCTTTCTGTGCTTGTGCTACTTCACGAAGAGTTTGCATTTAAATTCCCAGTACATATAAACTGTACTACTCAACCAACTGCAAACAAAACGCGAGCACGACACTTGTCTTTTTTCCTGCCACTTTAAAATATACCTAGCTTCCTTGACATTCAGTAAAAAAATATGCACATATATATTGGTCAACTCGTCTCAACTACTTCTTACACTCCACAGACAGCTGCGTGGAGGTCCTGCCTGCAGGATCGCCGATCTGCAGGCCCGCATGCACCGCCTGGCAGATGATCTGGCTTTCGTCGTCGTCCGTCGTCAGGGCAACGATGCTCAGACTCTTGCTAACGATGAGGAGAAGCTCGTCTGCTGCCGAGCTCGCCGGAGAGACGACGGCCGGGTAAATATTTTCCGTTATCTGCTCCGTCGTCTGAAAGCAATCGCAGGTGCAAAGTTGTAATGAGCGATTTTTTTTTTTTATTGAGACGTTCCAAGTGCCTGTGGGTTACATATCCTGCGCTGTGCACACACTGACACAGCCTACCTCGACATTCCACCGACTAAATGACCTAGTACTACTACGACTAGTACTACTATATCAGCGCTAGTAGTAGTAGTGCCTAGTGGTTATAGTGGTTCATGGATATAAATTATTAGCGCTGACCACAATGCATTTTCGCAAATATGCGACATGTGCAAATGTGGACAGCTCATATTCTTGGGCCGAACGCCGCAGAACTTCTTGCAGGGTTTCATTTTAGAGTAAAATAGTTAGGGTTTGGTGGGCACAAATATGTAAAACTTAGTAATTTGTAACCTACGGAATTGAATAAACCTTTCATTTTCAACTGATGGAAGACTGAATAAATACTGTCTACAATTATGTGATTTGCCCTGTCAGGATTTGTTTTAAAGGAATACTTGACTATAGGTTCTAGGGTTATTTTCAGTTGATTTAGGTTAAAATTACGCTTCATAAAAAGTTTTATGGTTCAATATGTATTAGAAATATTTAAAAAAAATGTTTGACAACTGACGGCTATACTGTTGCTTACAACGACGGTGGCGCTACTGGCAGCGCACCCACTGAAAAGTTGCACAAAGCAACGTTTCGGCTGCAGGCTACAGACCGAGGGTGTTTCTTATTTATTAATTTAAGAGCAAAAGGATTACAATATCTTATAAATGACATATAGTTTCAGTTATAATATGGATAAATTTGTCCTAAAATGAATATCGTTCTGTTAAATAGCATTTATGTATAAATATAATTGCACTTTTGTGATTAACCCTCAGTCTGTAACGTGCAAAACATTTTGGCAAATGCGCAACTTTTTCAGGGTGGAAGCACGGTCGTGGGTGTCATGTCAGCGCCCAAAAATGAAGATTTTGAAGTTCAATGTTGTTTTATGACAAACGTGAATGCGTAATTATAGATATTTATAGGTATGTGCTATTATTTATAAATCTACTATCATAATATTCTCTCAAATTCTAGAGTAAAGTATTCCTTTAACAAGACACGATTTTTTATTATACTGGGGCAAGACAAATTTGTATTCATAAATAATAATCGATAATGCATCACAAATGTTTTTACACTACCACTTTCGGCGCAAGTCCAGTTTCTTATGCCCAGCATGGTGACCACCTGCCTCCAAAATCCCTGACTGGTTCTCATCAGCAAAACTGCATATGGCAAGTGTACAGGCCTGTATACAGCTGGTCATATACGCGAGGCTATGTGCACAGTAGGAAAGTGAACTTGCTCGCCTATCTTGCGAACGAATTGATTGATATTTCTAGAAATGCTACTTATGTGTGGGTACATGTCTAAGATTTGATCTGTGGGTGTCATGTGCCGTATGCAGTTATGCTGGTGAGAACCAGTCAGGGATTTCGGAGTCAGGTGGCCTCCATGCTGTGCGTAGGAAACTGGACTTGCGCGCACTTTTATATGCAACGATGGTATAGCCAAGATATTTTTAAATCCTCTCTATAACGATTCTGAGGCTCAGAGAAATAAGTTATCTAGCTAGATGGTGTGCATGATATGATGCTGACTATTGCATAGCAATTTGATAAAATATAGCATCACACTAGTTGTCATCGATTACATTATGCTATATGTACATTCGACACTGCCATGTTACTACAATTTAATGAACATCATGCTTTTTCATTGTGAGTTGGCTTCATGAAGTGATAGATTTCTATTCTATGTACTCTAATCGATGATTCATGCCTTTTTTCATTCACACGACGATTTCCTTGTAAACTCTTGTCACCGGTATCATAA